CTGTATGACTTCAGGATCATACTCATTAGGCACACTAGCATTCTCCAGATAACTTGACTCTGAGATTATGCAAAACTTTCAGCTGTGGGTTCAAAGCCTTGTTCTTCTCGTGTTGCTCTGTAGGATAGGATAGGCCTTAAAAATATCCAGAAAGCACTGATGAGCTGTGCCTGTGTTCAGTGTTGGTCTCCACATCTCAAAAGAAGAAGGGAATTTTGGAAGTTTGTCTTCGTCTAGAGAATCATTTTTCTCCAGATATATAGAGATATGTCTGGCATATTTACACTGTCTTTCCACAAAATTGCCCTTGTATCTTTGTGCTATGAACAGTTCAATTTAATGAAATAGCTGTCCACTTGAAGCTAATGCAAACACTAAAGAGCAAGCTCAGGAGCAAATCCTACATTATGGCCGAGATTAAATTCGAGATCACCTGATATTATGCTCTCTAGTATTCTGGGGTCGTGACCAGCGATTCTGTGTCCTTGAGTGCATCAATACACATGGCTTACAAGCAACATGGAACCATTTACACAATAAATTTAGCATGGCAAATCTCACGCACCTTTCCTGTAAAGAACTAAACACCTGTTTATTAATTTCTTTTGTTTTTGCCCTTTAGGATTTTTGTATGTTAGTACGTTGTACATGCGGAATGTATTTTAGCATGTTAGTCAAGTAGTTTAATGTAATATATTCATTAGTATCTACAGGACATCTAAGCCTTTTTGGGTCAGTTTTTTCACTTGCCATTTCCAAGCAGTCATTTATCATCCTACAGCGGCCAGATTTCACGTTACAGTTTGTCACCACTCCAGTGCAGTTTTTTCCCAGCTCCAACAAATTTTTAACAATATAACTTGCAATTTCTCCAACTGCACTAGGAGACATCCCTTGGTTCTGCACACAAACTCTGCAGCCCCAGGTCAGCAAGTTGACAGCCCATCCACTAGCATGAGGTCAACTTGCGAGGTAATAACGTGCATGCACAACACATTAGTAAACCCAGATGGGAAAACCCACGCTGATGCAAGCTTTTTGAGGACAGCTATGGCTGTGGTTCCCGTGAAAGTTTGGCTTACAAGAAGGGAAACTACAGTAGTCATATGCACTTTTTTAGACAGTGGTAGTTCCTCAACATTCTGCACGGAAGCCTTGATGAGACGGCTAGGAACAAATGGTACAAAAACCACAATCTCTTTAACTACCTTGGAAAAGAAGGACAGTCTTGAGGATAGTTTTGTCGTCACTTGTCTCACCATTTCTGATTTGGACGAAAATGTTTTTGTTGATCTTCCAACAATTTTCACAAGTCCCAGCATACCAGCGTCAAGTAAAGACAAACCCACCCAAGAATGACGTAGACAAATGGCCAAACCTTGGTGGAGTGCACCTGTCCAGAGTCGATGCGGATGTTGGTCTACTTTTAGCATGTGATGCTCCTGAGGTCCTTGATCCCTTGGAGATAAAACATAGCCAGGGTGGTGGACGTTAGACTTCGTGTATGAGTGTTGACTCCATATTGCCATGGCGTCTGGGCATCAAGCTTTCTTATTGAAGTCAACACTGAACTACAAAAGCTGGTAAAAGATTTCTACAATTGCAACTTTGATGATGAGTCAATTGCTGATAACCAGACCAAGTTATCCCAGGAAGAGCACCGTTTTATGGAAAGAATGAAAGAATCCTGAAAGTTGAAGAATGGTCATTATGAGATCGCCTTGCCCTTCAAAAATTGGCAACGTTCAGTTTCAAACAACCATGTCAAAGCAGAACAGCAAGCCATGTGGTTAAAGAAGTTACAGAAGAACCCAACATTTCATGATGACTACAAGATCTTCATACATGACATTGTCGTCAAAGGATATGCCCAAAGAGTACCCAATCACCAAAGGGCGACAGGGTATGAAGGCAAGAAATGGTTCATCCCCCACCACGTAATTTACCACCCACAAAAGCCCGGCAAAAATTTGTGTGGTTTTCGATTGCTCGGCAAAGCCCAAGGGAAATTCTCTCAATGACCAGCTGATGAAAGATCCAGATCTCACTAACTCACTCTTGGGCGTCCTTAGTAGATTCCAACAGGAGTGTATCGCAGTTATGGCAGACATTAAAGCCATTTTTCATCAGGTGAAAATTCCCAATTACAACTGTTTGTTTCTTTGCTTTTTGTAGTGGCCAGACGGTGACCTATCATATGCTTTGGCAGAATATCAGATGACTCTTCATCTTTTTGGCACTGTGTCGTCACCAGCCTGTGCCAACTTCGCCCTTCGGAAAATGGTGGATGATAATGAGCAGCACTTCCCTTGTGACATGAAAAATACCGTGAGACACAACTTTTATGTCGACGAATGTTTAAAGTCCCTCTTGTCAGTAACAGTTGCTATCATCCATGTTCATGAATTGTGCAGCTTGTTGTATTGTGGTGATTTTCGATCAACTAAGTAGCTGAGATGTTAGGGGAAGTATCCCCATGCAGGGGCATGGCCAAGAGATCAAGAAGCTAGACCTTTAAAAGGATGAGTTGCCAGATGAGCACGCGCTTGGTGTTCAATGGAGGATAGAAAATGACATGTTTGGTTTCTATGTTATTCTCAAGCACAAACCCCCCACTCAGAGAGGCATATTGTCTGTTGTTGGTTCAGTCTTTGATCCGTTTGGCTCTGTTTCACCTTTCATACTGACTGGCAAGAAGATTTTGCAAGATTTATGCAGAATAAAATTAGGCTGAGATAACAAAGTGTCAACAGAGCATTGCACGCACTGGCAAAGATGGCTTTCAGATGTTCCTAAACTGTCGCAGTTTATGATTGATTGTTGCTTTAAACCAGCCGACTTTATGGAGATTGTGTCCAGTCAGCTTCACCACTTCTCCGATGCCTCTGAAATTGGCTGCGGATCAGTATCATATCTATGAGTGAAAGATAGATGCGGCAGAATTCATTATACCATCCTTCAAAGGAATTCCCCCCGGAGCCACTTAGGCAAGTCACAGTTCCTGGCTTAGAGCTGTCAGCCAAGACAATTTCTGTACAGTAAGACAAAATTTTGAAGAGAGAGATTGACTTGCCATTACCTGACTGCTCAGTTCTTTGGCCCTTTGGTGAGATATTTCCAAAAAGCGTCCTCTTGGTATCGCCTGAAGAAATCTATTGCTTGGTTTCTGGCCTACTGTGTGTTGGTGGGAGAGTCTAGCCTCAATACCATTTGATGCCAAGCACCAGATCATTCTACCAAAGAACGATCATGTATCCAACCTGATAGTGGAACACTGTCACCATATTTCTAGGTACTCTGGAAAAGAACATGTAATTAGCCTACTGTGTGAACAATTCTGTATTGTAATGGCAGGCTCCGCTGTCAAAACAGTTATGTCAAGGTGTGTAAGTTGCTGACAGCACCAAAGCTATGAATGTGAACAGAAGATGGCTGATCTTCCGGAGGATTGTCTCACCATGGACCAGCCACCCTTTACATCTGTCGGTGTTGATTACTTTGGCCCTTTCAAATATGGCATTGTTGAAGCCAGCTTAAGAGATATGGGGTCATTTTCACTTGTCTCACGATTCAAGCCCTGCATATGGATTCTTTTTTGCTAGCCCTAAGACGGTTTATAGCAAGAAGAGGTCAGGTCCAGAAGATTCATTCAGACAACGGAACGAATTTCACCAGTGGCAAGAAAGAGCATCACGAGCTCCTCATGGCTCACATGTCAGTGGTGTATGGGAGCGCTGCATTTGCACCATGTGGAAAATTCTGCAAGCCCTCCTCTGAGAGTAAATCCACAACAACAAAAGTCTCACAACCTTGATGTGCGAAGTTGAAAGTATTATGAATAGCTGTCCAATTAAAACAGTTTTCAGTGACCTGCCGGACAAGCAGCCCTTAACACCCAACCATTTGCTGCTGCTGTGCTCCAAGCCCCCAATACCTCCAGATTTGTTCCATAAGGAAGATCTGTTGTCCCGTCAAAGGTGGAAACAAGTTCAGTACCTTGCAGATATCTTTTGGAAAAGATGGTTGAAAGAGTATCTTCCTCTTTTACAAAGCAGGCAGAAGTGACTGCATCCGAGAAGAAAAAAACACCCATTGGAGATGTTGTGCTCATTGCTGTAGAAAACTACTATCACAATTCATGGCCCCTGGGTAAAGTAGTTGAAGCTTTCCATGACAAGAAGAGCCTGGTGCATCATGCCAAAGTCAAGGTTAAATCTGGAACTCTTGAAAGACCGATCGACAAGCTGTCTTATGATCGAACATCAGGATTCTAACAAATTAAACAGAACAGTGTTATGCTTAATTTTGCATCATGCATGTCTTCTTGTATATCTTTGTTTATTATTGTAAATAGTGTAAGTAGCTGTTTAGTTGAATATTGTGTTTGTAAGTGTTTTTACCCATGGCTCATCACTTAGGGGCCAGTGTAAAGAACTAAACACCCATTTATTAGTGTCTTATTTTTGCCCTTTAGGATATTTGTATGTTAATTCGTCATGCATGTCAAATGTATTTTAGTGTGTTAGTCAAGTAATTTATTGTAATATATTCGTTAGTATCTAAAGAACGTGTAAGCCTTTTTAGGTCAATTTTTTCACTTGCCATTTCCAAGAGGTCATTTTTCACCCTATTGCAGCCAGATTTTACGTTACAGTCCATCGCCACTCCAGAGTAGTTTTTTCCCATCTCCTAACAAATGTAAGTGTTGCTTTGGTCCAACTTTCTGAAGGAAAGGAAGGAAAATTTCAACCGGCTGAACGGCTGAAGTTTTCAATGGATAAGGTCAA